GGTGGTTGTGTGTGTGATTATTTTGAGTGTGTGTTTATTTTTGGTTATTTCATTGTAAAATGTAATTAGGAATTGGAATAATGAAAAGAAACCCTAACCACCACCGTGAGGTGGTGGCTGCCGCCACCAGTCGTCGTGTTGGGTGGCGGTGTGCTTGTTGTGTTTGATTCGTTGGGATGTTTGGACAAGGGACTAAAACCCTAATGGGCCTAACGAACTCTAATTGATCAAAAGACCTAGCTATTGGGCCTATTGGGCTATGATTGGGTTGGAAACCCTAATTAGGGTTTGGAAAACCCTAGTTTTGGGATTATTGGTTTGGACTTATCAGGACCCGCATTTTGGACCATTAGAGTGGAGTTATGACTCAAACCCAATTTCATTGTATGTTTGGACTTAATGGATTAAGTCCTTAATGGGTTAAGAAGGAACACTTAACCCTAATCGTCATTTCATGTGAAAAACCCTAATTGGGTTTTGGGTTCTTATTGGGCCATTTAAGCTGATGTGGGCCTTTGTGGGCCAATTAGGAACATATTAATGGACTAAGGGAAATTATTGGGCTTCAGGATAATACCCATTAGAGAGGCTTGGGCCTAATTTGGAAAATTGGGCCATAAGTGGGCCATGTTTGGGCCTTGAGGATTATTAGTCATTGGGTCATCAGAATGCCAATTGTTTGGACTAGAATAATTGGTTGGGCCTTAAAATAAGTCCATGTAGAGGCTTGGGACCAATTTGGAAAATTGGGCCATATGTTGGGCTTTGGCCCATTACTTGCCTATTGGGCCTTTGTAGTGTGAGTTGGACCTTGGGCTTGGAACCCAATTATTAATTGGATATTGTTTGGTGCTGACAGTTTGGGAATCTGTCATCCAGCAGCTAGAGTTTTATTCGCGGGACTTCAGCAGTGGCAGGTGAGTCTCCTCACCATACCAATGGGTCTAACGCACCAAGGCCGGCCCATTTTATGATATGTGGTACACTATATGAAGTTGTATTATGTAGCATGTTAGATGTTTATGTGCTAGGAAGTATGTTAGTGGTATATGTGTTATGCTTGTATGGAAGACCATGGGAGAGCCCATGACACCTGGATGTAAGACCATGTAGAGAGCCCATGGCTTTCCTACTATGTTGTAGTGTTTATCGTAGATTCACTACTGATATGTCTGGTATGTATATATATATATATATATATATATATATATATATATATATATATATATAGGATGCCAGTAATTACGTGGTATGTTAGTTGTCTTTGTGATATTTGCATGGAAGACCATGGGAGAGCCCATGGCACTCGGATGTAAGACCATGTGGAGAGCCCATGGCTTTCCTATCAAAGACCATGGGAGAGCCCATGGCACTTAGGTGTAAGACCATGTGGGGAGCCCATGGCATCCTGGAGTAAGACCCTGGGGACGAGCCCACGACATCCGTATATGTTGATAAGCATGGATATGTGATTGATATGGTTTATGTAGCTGTCATAGCTGATATGGATTATGTGGTTATGTGGATTGTGTAGGGTATGCTCTGGGGAACTCACTAAGCTTCGTGCTTACAGTTTTGTTTATTGGTTTCAGGTACCATCGATTTGGAAAAAGAAGGGTTCGGATTGATCGCAGTGCACACACTCATGTTTTCCGTATTGAATGATTTTGGGATGAAATCTGATAAATGTTTTAATTAACGATGTTTTGAATGTTGGCATAAATGATATCTATGTTTTGTCTATATTAAAAATGAAATTTTTACCCTCGATTTTTGGATCGTTACAAATTATCTCTACCTAACATGTTAATATTTGATGCTTTAATTGCTTGAATTCAGGTTCTGTGTAGCTTAGTGAACATTAATTTACATGAACTTGTTACCTGGTAGTTTAGTAACCATTAACTTGCTAGAGCTAGGATCGACCCAATCTTAGATAAGTGATAAAAGTAGCAAATTTAGTTGTGCTGGAGAACATAAATTGTGACCACAATCGTGTTTATTTAGATCAATCTTACATAGCTTGTTTATATTTTATAACTGATTTTGTGTTTGCTAGTGTATGACCATACATAGTGTTACATGATATAGTGAAGACATTAGTAAATTTGGACTTAAATTGCTAATAAAAATAATATTTTATAACCAACATTAATTAATAATCCATAATTAATAGCTAGCCAATGAGGAAAAGTGGATTCGAACTAAATGGAAGTGTTTTTAGTAATTGATTGAATTCATTAGTTTGCTATTTAAGTTTGTTTGAATTTGAAAAACTAGATAAAAACCAATTTAACTTTTGCTAGTTTTAGGTTAATCTTTAGTAATAAAATTAGTTAATTAAATTTGTTCCATGTGTTCGATACCCGACTGTTTGTGCTATACTATTTGCGAAAAGGTTTAATGCCTTTAGTCGAATAGCTAGTTAGATAGTTGGTAAAACTAATAGTAGGATAAACTAATTCATAATTATTTTGACATCAAAGAACATTGTCAGCGATAAGGCGACCAGAGATGAAAGCGGATTGGTTTTCATTTACCAAAGTGGGAAGGTGGTCTTTTATACGATTCACAATGATCTTGTTGGTGCATTTATAGACAACGTTGCAACTAGCAATAAGGCGGAAATTAGTAACTTCAGCCGTCGAGTTAGTTTTAGGAATAAGGGCAAGGATGGTGATGTTGAGGGTCTTAAGAAGTTTCCTACAGAGGAAGAACTCTTTAACCATAGAACAAACATCAGAGTCAACAACATCCCAAGTGGATTTGAAGAACTTCACCGTGAAGCCATTAGGACTTTGCTTTCTTCACTTCTTCATCTGTGATAAGATGAAGCATAGAAGCGGTCTGGGCATCACTAAGCTGGTTAGGGAAGAGAGACATATAGTCATGAATGGGAGCAACGGGGTTTGCGGTTCCAATGAAATCTTGAAAGTGGGTAACAAACATGTTATGGACATCATCCCCGCACAATCAGTCATCAGTGTTATTTTGGATAGTATTGATGTGGTTCCTGTTATGGCGACTTTTCACAGTTTTATGGAAGAAAGAAGAATTTGTGTCTCCTTCCCTAAGACAATCAACCTTTGTTTTTTGTTTAAGGGATCTCTCTTCATCAAGGAAAGCTTCATTATAAGCATTAATGTAGTGGTTATGCTTTTCACGTAGATCTTTATTGTGTGGATCCCTGTCAATGTCGATTTGGACTCTATCAAGCTCGGTGTGGAGGGAGGAGTTTCCCTGCTTGTGTAAGAGATTTCTCATGGGGCCTTTCAGGTGTTTGAGATTCTAAGACAATTTATACATCTGGTACCAAGGTATGTCGTGGTTCCAATTGGAAGCAACGGTCTCTTTGAAATCAGGTTTAGAGGTAAGAAAGTTGGAAATTTTAAAAGGTTTCGTGTAGAGGGGGTATGAGAGAGAAGAGTCGGGAAGTGATCAGAAGTGCGATGGGGGAGGAAGGACACAAAGTCAGAGGGAAAAGCGGAAGAGATATGGGTGTTACCCATAACACGGTTAAGCTTTTATAATTAATTTATTTTTTAAATAAAAGAAAAAAATCTTGTGGCAAAAATGGCAAACTAGACCCTTTAAATGACAAAATCATGAAGAGATGTGGCAAATGTGATGTTGAGCCTACGTGGCGGCAAAAAGGGAGTGACAAAAGTGGCACCACTCCCTTTAGCCTAAATAGAAACCAAAGGGACATGTTAGGTGGTTTCATTTCCTCGTCGTATATATTGGTTTTAATGTAAGATTTGATTGTTTTGTTTAGCTATGACTGTTTTTTAAGAGGTTTAATCATTCATGTTTCATTCTCGTTGCATTTGAAATCGAGTAATTTGTAATGTGTTACATGCTTGTTATATGATGGTGTTATAAAATTTTGTTGCATAAAAATTTACCCGTTCTTGGTATGTGTTTTTTTCATCTTAAATCTTGATGTGTGTTTCCACCTTCAGCTATCGCATACAAGCTTGCAGTTGCATGCACATTCCTAACTCCTAAATCTTGATGTGTCTTTCTTTGGGGTTTTAGCGATGTTATAGACCCTAGATAGTGAGGGACATTAGAAGTAATCATAACGAAGTAAATAATATAATAATTACCGCGATGAAAAGAATGTACAGATTAATATATGCTTTATATATTAAAAATAGCAATGATAAGCGATGCTAGTGATGTATAAATGATAATAAGTAATTATTGTGAAGTAGAAAAGATGGTAATTACACTTATAAATGATGGTAATTACACTATGTATTGATTTTAATAAGCGATGTTTGTTGTTTGGTATGAATTGACTACACAAATAAACATATGTATGAAGTATGTTTGTTTCCATACCACTGAGCTTGAGATTGACTCACTATTTTGATGCTAAACACTTATTTCTTTGCTTGTTGTTTTTGGGCCTTGCATTGGAACATGTAGCTTGATTTGATGGCCTGGTGATGTTGGAACTCTTATGGGGTAGTTACCTAGTTTTATACTTATGATACCAGTTTGAGACTTGTCGCTGATGTTTCATTTACACTTGGTTTTTGATGTGTGTTTTGGTATCAGTTTTGCATACATTGCATTTTAATGGGTTGAATTTGACAGTTTTGAAATAAGTAACGTTAGTGATATTTTCTAAATAATAAACTAAGACTCCCAATGCTAAAATTTGTCAAATGGTGTTTCAAAATAAAATAAATCAATAAATAAATAAATAACGAGATGACAAATCACGGTGTTACAAAGTTGGCTTGGGCACAAATAAGGAAAAGGGGAAGCGGGTTGGAAGGGAGTGGCTTTGAAGGGAACATGACTCTGCCCTTTTCAAACCTCCGACATTGAAGTGAGGCACTACGTGGATCTCGTCCACCTTTATAATCTTTAAGGAGATAAGATAAAAATGACAACAACAAAGTAATCCTAAATCCCAATGCTATACATATGCTAATACCAAGAAGAATGTAATAAAAGGGAACTAACTATATACCAAAATTATTTTGGATGCACTAGATTATATTTATCTCAAGCTACCTTATAAAATACTTTAGAAGTTACGATAAGCTACTTTTATGGTCTAGCAAACCTTAAATTACAATAAACTATTTTATTTATGCCAAAGAGGCCCAATAGTAACTACCATGACATAATGTCATCAATATTAGAACATGATGGAGTTATGGTAAGAAATTAGAAAAAAAGATAAATCAAGGGCATTTAGGGCCTCCTCTTTTGGTCTTCCAGTCATTGTAACATGGACATAATTGTTTGTTCCCATAGGTCCCTGGAGGTACGCACAAGCATGTGGCACAACACTTCTGGCAAAAGAACATGCATGGCTTCTTGAAAGCGGTTTTCGAGCACCTACTCGTGCATCTTGGTGCACATTCTACATCACAATCAAACATACTCAAAACAATCATTGTGTCGTTACATAATAATAACTCATGGTGTCACGTCCTAACATGTTCAAATCTCAATATGCGAGGGAAAATATGAACAAATAACTTATGGGTTTTAGTATGTATTGGAAAAAAGATTTAATACACACCTTGAGGTTGAAGGCTGCCTGGAGTGGCCCCATACTGCAATTGATTATTAGTTAAAGAAGAGGTTAAAACAAGTGTTAATTAGTTTGATGTTAAATGTGGAATTGGAGGCAATAAAATGTACCATGGTAAAGTTTCCTGGCGATTGTGGTTGAGGTGCCGGAGACGGTGAGAACATCAATTTTGCCTAAACCATAAAACAATATATATATATATATATATATATATATATATATATATATATATATATAGAGAGAGAGAGAGAGCTAGGTTCATTTGTTTAAACTAAGTATTGTGTTATCGTATTCATAAATGTGGGCCAAGAATTTGTTAACCGTATTCTATAAGAAATAATGTATTTTTTGTTTTTATTCTTCAATTGATTGTTCAAGAATTTATTATTCTACAAGAAGTTCAAGAATTTATGGTTCAAGAATATTTTTATTTTTGAGTAAGTAATTAAATAACTAAAATATTCTGTCAGAATGTCCGAATTAAAATAGTTATATTCGTAAATCGGATTTTTAAAATTAATAGAATCTATGATCCCTTAAAATATACAATTTTCCTTTATTTAATCTATTTTAATTCAATAATATATATTAATCACTTTCTTAAAATAAGTAAAATTGATTGGCCCACAGTTATGAATACAATAACACAATAATTACTTTGAATAGAATAACCTAGGCCTATATATATATATATATATATATTATATATATATATCTATATATATATATATATATATATATATATATATATACTATCACACCCAGCCATCTTAGTAGTATAATGATCAAAGAAAGCATTTTTCATAAGAGTCTAATGCTTGTTTATGTGAACAAGTTTCATATTTGTCTATTTTATGCAAGAAACTAGTTTTATAAATGAAACATGCAATGATGTTTCATTCAAGTTATACGTTGTTTGACATTTTTGTTTTAAATTGGTAAAAGTATGAATACATATACCAATTTAATCAATTTCGTTTTTATCTAAATTCTTTATTTTATTAATCATTTAGAATAAAATTTAATCAAAATTGGTTTATTTATATTTAATGCACAATTCTAATCCACAAATCCAGAGGTTTTGGCTAATGACATTTAAGTTGTCATTTCCATGTCAATATTGATAATGAGATTGTGGGTTTAAGTCAGGTTAATAGAATTAAAAAGTATATACAGATTCTTATCATATATACTTTTTAGCAACAGAAAGAAGAAGTGTAGTGTTTCTTACATGGTTGTTTGGGATATGTAGAAGAAGCATCATTCCAATGAATATCATCACAACACTTGCTTTCAATGCCATTATCCCCCGAACCCCAGCTAAGGTGTGTGTGTGTGTGTTTTGGTGTTTGAAGGGAGTGACTTATAGACATTAGCTTCCACAAATGCCAACAAATATGAGTCACCAAATTATATCTGCAATAGAAATATTTATTTCTGTTTATAAACACCTTTGAAAAGATAGAAGAACAAAAAGGTGTAAAGAGCCTTCCAAAATCGTTAGTTTGCCACAATTATCGAGAATATAGTAAGATGTTTCTTATTAATTGGCTCAATTAACCATGCTTTCTCTTATATTATTTTTGTTGTTTTGAGAATATAGTAACTAGTAAGTGATGGTTATGACAGTTTTGTGAAAATTTCTTAAAATAAATCATCAATAATGGCTAAGATGATAAATGTTTCTAATTAATTGACTTAATTATGCGATCAACTAAAAGCAAACATGAATGATACATTTTTTATTTATCTAATGATTAAATAGAAAAAGTCATAAAAAAATATTTATTCAAATTTATATTTTTATAAATGTTTATTAGTACAAATTAAACAAATATCCTTTTGACACTTCAAGTGCAAAAACTATTTGTTAAGTTATAACTTTTTGATATTCGTGTATTTGTACAAAACAAACATTTGTTCATAAAACACTTCCTATGCAAACAAACACATAACAACTTATTCAAAAAAAATCTGGAAAAACAAGACCTAATTAAGAATAATCATTTCGAGCAATGCTAGTTACTAATTTTATAAAACATTTAACTGATATCGAACACCCAAAAGTTGTATAAAATATTATCTTAATTGATTGGTAAAGAAAACTTTGGAAAAGATATATTTTTCAAGAAGCATGTGAAGCTAGAGACGAAAGTGATAAGAGTTAGTGGGTGGCGTCACATGTCCACCAAATTTAAATGGGTTCACAAAACCAACAAAAAAACTAATATTGCTGTCATACTCATTTATACCAATACCACTTCTTCTATCTCTTTATCTCATGCCCGTGATTCCGTGAACACATCTGGTTTTGTGTTCTTTTACTTGGGGTTTCTTCAACTTGTACCTAAAATAAATCTAAATATCTCTTAAAACTATAGCATAAAAAGTAATTCCATATAGCCCGAAACAAGTTATGATTCTTTTTTGAGTAAATTACTCGAATGATCTCTATGGTTTGGGGTAATTTGTGTATTTGGTCCTTAACTTATTTTTTTTTAATTTTGGAGGTTCATACTATTTGTTTTTGTTACGCGCTTGGTCCATACTGTTTGTTTTTGTTACGCGCTTGGACCATACTGTTTGTTTTTGTTACGCGCTTGGACCATACTGTTTGTTTTTGTTACGCGCTTGGTCTCTATCTTATATAAAAAGACTATTATTGAAATAGAGAAAAATTGTGGGGTAAGTAAGGTAAGGTGAGGGGTGGAGGTGGGCCGATTGAGTGTGTTTATTTAAATAAACTAAAAAATCAAGGGAAAAATAATCTTTTTAGGTAAGACATGGACCAATCACGTAACAAAAACAAACAGTAGGGACCTTCCGAGTTAAAAAAATAAGTTAGGGACCAACCGCACAAATTACCGTAAACCATATGGACCATTCGTGTAGTTTACTCTTCTTTTTTCAAGAAAATATAAATGATTTACTTTTTTTTAATAGACATATGTAACACGATGTAACCCTTTCAGGGTAAGTTCTACAAAATTCTTTTGATATGTTAGACACTTAATTAACTATGACAAAACTTCAAAAATGGTCCATGTGGTTTCACGAAATCTGAAGTTTGGTCTTTAATTTTAAAAAACCTTACGATGGTCCATGTGGTTTCAAAACTGTTAATGTTTAGTCCTTTTGACTCACTCCGTTACCATTTAGCCGTTAAGTAAAGAGCATTTTTGTCATTTCACTACCCAATGATCATTTATGAGATTTTCTATTACTTTAAAAAAAATATGCAAGGGGTCCACCCCCTCTCTCTCTCTCTCTCTCCAAAATACATCAAGTAATTTGATCCCGTCTTCCTGATAAGTGATAACCATCCCCACTCACCACTCATCCTTGTCGTAAGCATTAACTAGATCCAACAAAGAAAACTCAGTCGCCATAACCTCCGGCGGAAGCGCCTGGATTGGATTGGCGGTGATGAACTCTTTTAAAGGAGCAAAACAGTCATCGTTCAAAAGGGTTCTGTACTGGATTATGTACTCTTTTTTGGACAACGAAGAGATGATGTTTGCTATGTAGTATGAACCCGCGAAACCCTATTCTTTGTTCGAAATTTCTACCCTGTCGCCTCTTTCATACGTCATAGTTCCCGATGGTGTTTTTTTTTGTTTGCAAATCGGAACAGCAACGGTTTGTGTGAATTTGAGCTTAGATCTGAAATACACTGATTTACGAATTGCAAACACATATTTTGAGTAATTTTTGGGAAAATTCGATGATGAATTCTGTTGAAGTGAAAGGAGATAATAGCAAAATCAATCGTCAATTGCTTCCAAAAATCAAATAATAATGCTGGAAGAAAATTTAAAACATGTTACAGAATCAGAATTACTCCTTGATGTGTGTATGCAACCTTATCTAAAACCAAATTAGCCTAAGATGACATGATACTTTGATACCCTGTGTTTAATATGAAATTCTAGTTTGTGTTTTAATGGGTTGAATCGAAGAGGACATGTTGTTGGAACAATTTCACTATGTTGATTTGGTGATGTTTTGAAATATGGCAATGATTTGTAGTTCAAGGAAGAATAAGTTGTCACATCCCCAAACCAGAACGGCGGAAACGTTCGGGGCGGAGGATGTCATGTACAGTATCACAACAATTGTATAATAGTAATCAAAGCAACAACAACCATTGTATTAATAATATAGAGTTTACATTGTATTCAATTCACATATGATTGACTCCAAAAGTAAATAGCAAAACAAAGACTTGAAGCTACTATGCTCCGTCTCCTCGAAACCTGCGCGCGTACCTGTCTACTAGTTTCTTGAGAATACAAGTGATTTTGAAAGTGTATCAACATTTAAGTTGGTGAGTTCATAATCATTTTGTTTTAGAAAATAAGTTCTTTGTTACTTGAAAATGTTTGTGTGTTCTTTCAAAAAATCCTATATTTTCTTAGTAAAATGAAATGTAGTCTTAGGCCTTAAGACCAAAATATATATGTTTCTTATGCTTAAAGAATAAAATATGACTCTTTGAATTTATATAAGTAATGTAACCCATATTGGTTCCTACTATGGTTCCTCAGTGTGTACTAGTTATATAAAAAACAAATATCGAACGGACAGTTGATTGTGTGATTCTGCCCTAAGCCCACAACCAAACAAGGAACACGAAGTAAGGCAGAGATCACACATTCCACTGTCTCTCGGATATTATTTATATATAACCCTGATGTATAAACTAAGAAATCATAATATCATCAATAATGGTCCTAACCGAAGAGTAAGTAATCGTATTTGTTTCCAGAAAGTTGAGTTGTAAACTGTTTACTTGTAAAATCATGATATTTATCCTGGAAAATCCTATATTTTCCATGAAACTGAATTGTAGTCTTAAACGTTCCAAGACCGAAAAGTACAAGTATAATTGCCATACTTAATTTAATGATACATAGTTTTATTCATAAGTAAAACTAGCTGAAGACGTGTCTACACTGTAGCCAGATGTGATGTTAATACCCTCCTATGATCACTTTGTACATACGAGTTATATAAAATCGAGATCGAACAGACAGTCGAATGAGTGATTGTGCCCTAAGCCCACAACCAAACAAGGAACAGGAAATAAGGCGGAAATCACACATTTCACTGTCTACCGGAGATTAATTTTATATAACTAATGACCTGCACGACGTTCTTCAGGCGTCGGAAAGTTATGACATTTGTCACCCTAAACTTGCTGGTCTAACTGTAGCGAACAGCTGAGGTGCGGGGTTGTTAATATCTTGTATAGATCTATACACAAACTCACGCTCTCCCTCCAGGAGACTCTGATTATAATTCAGGATTTTAACGGGTACCATGTTTGGTACAACGAATGAGTGGCTCACAATCCTGTATTAACTAGTTTACATAAAGTGTGTTAAAGTTATCTTTTCCTTGTTACCGTATGTATTATCCTTTTATAGTATTTACAATGTATGAAATAATCATATTTTTTTATATAACTATTCCTTTGACCCAAAAGAGTGAAATAGTGTGAATGTTCCCCAAACTATATCTATTATAGGTTAAAAGTGTATGTTTCGATGAAATGGTAAAACTTTATTATTTTTAACAACTTGAAGAGTTTATAAGTTTGGTAGTAACGCGTTTAGCATTATTGCGTAAAATGTATATAAAGTACGTGAAAACATAATAAACGATTTATATTTTTAAACACAAGATTTCTTGTGTTTTACTTGTATCCCCCCCCCCCCCCCCCTAAAACATAGAAAAGCTTGGAAAAATGTGGGGGTATGAACTCACTTTGAGTTGGTTTACGGATTGTTTGGAGTGATGGAGTGAAGATCTCAAGCCTAAACTCTTGGATGAGTTGATGAACTTCTTTGGAAGGAATGTTGTCCTAAGAGTTTTTATCACATATTAATCGTGTAAAATAATATGAATCTACCAAGAAAGTGATATAAAATACTAGATTATTAGGATAACTTACCAAAAACTCTAAGGAAGCTTGAAGAGTTAAGCCTTTAGCAAATCCTTACTCTTGTTCTTGAGAGGAAAATTAGAGAGGAAATGAGGGAAGTTTGAGAATAATAGAAATGGTGGGGGTTTGTAATGGCTTACTGTCGTTGTTAAGGAGGAAAGAAAAGATGGGATGTGTGCTTGGTAATCTGCTGGTTAAAACATTGTTATTTGGTGGGTCTTTGTAGTTTATTGTGAATTCATTGGAAATGGATGAAGCTTCACATCTTAAAGTCAACTTTTCTTGTCTTATCCTCACCTATGACCATAAACACCTTTAAACACTTTAGTATGAAGTTGTTTCCGGCCTGGATGCTTCCTAGAATGGTGTTTTCGGCCATAGTGGGGTCCTTAAGTGTGTTTGCGGCCAAAAGAAAGTGTTTGCTGCCCACTATGACCGAAATCCCACATATACACTCACAAAAGAGTGA